TTGACCAGGATGGTCTCGATCTCTTGACCTCGTGATCCACCCGCCTCGGCCTCCCAAAGTGCTGGGATTACAGGCTTGAGCCACCGCGCCCGGCCCCCCATCCCCAATCTTAATGAATGACTCTACTTCTTTCTTTGGTGAGAAAATAAAAGCGGCCAGAGAGAATTCCTACTTGCTCCCATCTCCAAATCTGTACTTTGCTTTCTCTCTGTCACCTACATAAAAACTGTTCTTCAATTATCCCAGACTTACCTACATCACTGACTCCCTTCTTTACTTGACTATTTCTGTCTGTAAACTGTTATCACCCAAAATAAGAAAAAAATTTTTTTTTGTCGTATACTTCTTTTCTAGCTAATGATCCACTGAACTCATTAAAGTTTTCTATATTTACTATCTCCCCTTTCACACTTCCTATTTTCTCACCCCACTCAATGCTTTGTCCCCACCGTGCCACAGAAACAGTATCTTTCAAAATTATTAATAAACTCCATGTTACCAAATTTAGTAGGTTCAGATATCATCTGACTCAGGTTCTTAGCAACATTTGCCACAGTTGAACATTGCTTAGGATACATTCTTCACTTGATTTCCACCACATCACATGCTCAGGGTATCCTTCGAACTCTCTGGCTATTGCTACTTTGCCAGCTCATCTTTCTCCATCTAACTAGTAAATTCTGAAATGCTCAGGGCTTAGTCTTGGACCTCTTTCTGTCCTATTCTTTAGGTAATTTCTTTCCAGGGCTCTCCCAAATTTATTTTCCCCTGGGCTCCAGATTTGACATCAAATTGCCTATTTAACACCTCTACTTCATTGTCTATGCCAGTCTCACCTGCCATTCCTTGAACAGGCTAACAGCTTACCAAATTGAACATGTCTAAAACAGAACTCTTGCTTTTTCTCCCCAAACTTGTTTCTCCTCTAGTCATCTCTGTTTCAGTAAATCGAACCATTCATTTCCCAGTTGCTCAAGGTATAAGTCATTCTTGATTCTCTCTTTCCCTGAAATCCTTTATCCAATTTATTAGTAGGTCCTGCCAACTAACCATAATATATAACTGATATAACTAATAATACAGCCCTGTGCTGACTACTTCTCACTGTCACCACTCTAGTCCACATCACCAATATTTTTTGCCTGCATCACTATACAGTCTTCCTGGCTGGTTTTCTTACTAACAGCCTTGCCACTCGACATTCTTCTATCAGTAGCCAGCATCCTTTCTGAGGACACTTCCAGTACCTCCCTAATACATCTAAAACACAGACTTCATTGTGGCCTCCAAGAGCCTATATCTAGGCCCTGATTACCTCTCCACCATCATTTGGTACCACTCTCCCCCTTCCCCTACTCATCCCATGCCAGTCACATTTGCCCTTCCTTGAACTGGCTAAGCTTTTATATCAAAGAGGGGACTTGCTGCCTCTGCATGGAATATTCTTTCTCTAGATACTCACATGGCTGGCTGCTTCACTGCATTCAGCTTCACTGAATTCATGTCTCTGTTCAAATGACAATCCAGAAAGGTCTTCTCTAACCACCCTATCTAAAACAGACACTCCCCCTACCACCAACACCTTTGCTTACTCACTATTCCTTTATCCTCCTTTAAAGTTCTTCATAGCAAGTATGATTACCTAATACAACACACATACACAAACACACACACACACTCTCTCTCTATAGATATACACACACTTGTACCCACTTCTGTGTCCTAAAATGTAAGATCCTTTAAAAATTTAGTGTATCCTCAATGCCTAGAATAGCTCCTGAAACATAATCAGTGTTCAATAATTTTTTACTGAATGGACAATTTTAACTCTCTAATACAAAATAAGCACTTCCGGAATGAGAATTATAACACTGCCAATGTTCTTCATGGTACCTAAGCTGTATGCAGAATGAAAAAAAACATACAGACATACTTGACATTTTACAAGGATGTCAAAGAAATCTTCATCAGCATCTTTGTTGTCATTAGTCATCAGGTGGCTAAGTACTGACTGGCTGTTGTTTTGTGTTAGACGAAGCCCTGGCAAATTATTGAAACTGGCCCTCTGGTCATCCAGACGGCGGCTCTGTGAGCTGGCAAGAAGGTCCAAAAACTCATCCGTGTTGGGGGATACCACAGGAACAGATGGTGCTAAGAACAGAAGAACAAAGCCAAAGGTTAACAAAAACCCTAAGCACATTTATTATATACCTAGATCTTTTTGGCCTCGCCAGTCCCAATACCTGCCCTGCCCTCCAGCTACGGCGCTGACACTGATGTTGGCTAGATAGGTGCGGTTTTTATTGGTGGGAGGGAATAATGAGCCTCAGAGTACTTCAAATGACCCGCTTGGAGGCTACTCAGATTTGGCTGTATTTATCTGTTTAATGCGCACTCAAAATGTAACTATAAGATATATGACTAGATTTTAGGAGGTGAGTGAACTGTTTTTCTTACATCATTTTTCAGACCAGGATGTATGGGACAGTGCTTTTTTATTCCATGCCCTGGATACAAATCATTTAGTAAACTAACAGCTAAGTGCTGCTGGCAAGTCTTGGTCTATGGTATAAGAAGTCTTTTGGTAGCTGAAATAGAAAAATTTAAGTACCTTATTTTAGTCCTTTCTAAGTCAGCCAGGCCTTAGCCTCAGCCTTGGCCATAGGCTCCTCTTCAGTCTGTCTTCATTTTTCTTTTTTAATCCAGATATGAAATATTGACATTTTATATATAATCACAAGGTATGTATAACTATCTTTCCTCCTCATTTTTATTTTTAAAAGTTATATTTAGGGTGGGCATGGCAGCTCATGCCTGGAATACCAGCACTTTGGGAGGCTAAGGCAGGAGGATCACTTGAGGCCAGGAGCTCAAGACCAGCCTGGACAACACAGCAAGACCTCGTCTCCACAAAAAATAGAAAAAAAAATTGGCTGGGCATGGTGGTGTGTGCCTGTAGTCCCAGCCACTTGGTAGGCTGAGGTGGGAGGATCGCTTGAGCACAGGGGTTCAAGGCTGCACTGACTGTGATCATGCCCAGGCACTCCAGCTTAGCTAACAGCAAGATCTTGTCTCTAAATAAATAAAATCAGATTTTATTTTTATATATGATTTAGACAAAGGGTCTAACTATGCTGCCTAGGCTGGAGTGCAGTGGCTATTCACAAACACAATCATTGCAAACTATAGCCTCAAACTCTTGGCCTCAGCGATTCTCCCACTTCAGCCTCCCAAGCAGCTGAGATTACAGGCATGCAGCACCACACCTGGCTCACAGTCACATTTTCCCCAACAGATTTTTCAAAGAAAACTAGGAGATAGTATGATATAGTTATGAAAGCACACTGGACTAAAAACAGATATACTTCAGGGAACTGAAAAAACCTTGTTTGAACTGTATAAACAGCAGCATTTCAGATACACCTGGATTCAGGCTCATTTATCATATCTCCTATGATGGGAACGAAATTCTCAGAAATAAATCACAAGCATATCAAAATGAACTATTAAAACTGGGGGAGAAACAGAGATGACTCACTTTTTAGCATCATTTTGAGGGGAGTAGAAGTTGCTGTTGAAGCTGGATGGCAGTTCTTTTCTTGTAAACAGCATCTCTGATCATCCATCCTATTGCTTTGAAATCGGCTTAATAAGTCAAAGAACCCTTCATCGCCAATAGTATCTGCACTGATTTTCTAAAATATTGAGAGGAAGTCCAGTTCATTTGAAATATTCCAGTATTATCTTTAGATCATCAGTGAACATCATGATGCATTCAAATGCAAAAGGTAAAGGATGAGGATTAAAATAAATTAAAAATTGATCTTTTATTTTAAAAAAGAATACAAGATGGAAAATATTGGTAATAAAAGGCTATTTTAATCCAACTAACAAAAAGCACTTCTAGTTTTTAATTCCTGTGTTTCTAAGGCTAAAGAAACATACCTCAGACTTAAGAGAGCTGCTACAGATACTGAATTACGCAAACACTGGTGATACAGGCCTGTACTTCAGGCTCCACATTCAGTTCTAAACATTATAATACAGTGGAATTTAAGTATACTTATCTCTTTGTAAGAGCTGTTTAAGAAAGAAAACAGGTGTATTTTCCTAGCATAGTGATTTCTTTTTTTTTTTTTTTGAGACGG